ATATATATATTTAGTTGTCTATGTGCCACTTGGAAACTTTCTGCTGTGGTTTACTTAAGTTTTTCAAGGGCTTTCGCAAATAACCGCAATATCGATGATTGCCACATAGCCAAAGTCTTAAACATTTTCTTTTTTTTAATTCTATAACTTTTCCTTGTACAAAGTGTAAAAATCTAAGCTTTAAAGTAAATATTGTATTTGGCAAGAATACTCATTCGCAAGCTATTACAAATCGAAAACAAAATTTGCAAGTGTACATTCACAAGCTGTGCATAGAGTAAGCTTCGAATAGCTATTTACTAAATATTCATACATATCGACCGCTTATATTCAAGACTCTCTATCTGCAAAAACACAATTTTTCAACCGAGGAAAAACTATTTTACCAGCTATTTATGTATCCATCAATAATTCGAAGTACCAACGTTTGCCATAAACATTATATATGTTATATAAATCATATGGGTGGGAGACAAGGTGTCGTTAGTGTCATATGTCGTAAAGTTTATAACGGCTAAATGAATGTTTAGAAGACTTGAAACCACAACCAACTATTTTTTTTAACGGTGTGAAATTTCATAATACAAATCCCTTAAATATAGTTTTAGCCGTTTAAAGTTTACGACAGACAATAATACGACAGTATAAAACACCTTATCAGCTCCCTAATTGTTTTCTTTATTTAAATTCGCTGTACTTTCTTATAAAACTTCTTTATAAAACAAAAAATTTTATTGAAATTTGTTTTCTCAAATTTTTTATAAAAATATGGGTCATTCTACAAGGAAAAAAAATGAAAACATGACTTCTAAACTTTTGGCAAAACTCGCGAAGGTTCAATAAATATTAATTTCGAATTTTAAATTTTTTATAACCGATTTTTTGGAATTTTTTTTGGGTATGCCATTTTGTAGCCTATTAAATTCTAGTATAAAAAATACAATTAAAAAGTCTTGAAAACCTCGAAACTCTAAACGGGTTTATTCGATATTCAAAAAATCAAGATTTCAATAAACCGCCTATAGATATCCGGAAAAACCGGTTTGGAAAAACCGAGTCAATCACCCTAATGTCATCCCTCGATATATATATTGCACATTTTCTGCAATAGTGTTATTATCGAAAAATTAAAAAACTCGAGAAAAACGGCTTTAAAGTTTTGAATTTACATATATTCTAATAGTAAAAATCAATATATATTTTGTTCCAGTGAACTCCTGGTAATCGACACAGCTATGTGAAATTTTTGACAAAATAAAGAAGAACATTTAGCGGTAATTTCTGCATACCTAACTCATTTTTTTTTTGGATTATGTCACTCTTGCTGGAAATGTGCGATATGTGTACATATCTACAAATATCTATATGTTTGCCATCCTATATTTAGTTGTTAACTTTCACTTGTGTAAATACTTGGCCCACTATATGGAATATATATACATATATATGTACTTATTCACTTACTGAACTTGTTCAATTAAAATTTGAATATTCCGAACTAAATAGTTAGTAGATACTCATTTCAACGAAAATATACCGAAATAATATTTTTTCCTAATACGTTTCACTTTTCTCTCTTGCAGCGCTATGCAGTGCAGCGACACACACACAAAATTGGTTTGGACTCTTAATTATTGCCTCATTGAATGGACATCGAAATTTGTGCCACAATGTCATTTGCTGTCGAATACAGTAATTGCAGCAGGTAATTTCCTGAGGAAGACCAGTAATGAGGATGTATACCTGTGTGTGCTGCACGTAAGTACCAACATATATGTACATATATTTATATCTATGTATGTATGTAGGTTGTTTTTGCATATGGTATATTTGCCAAATATCGATGCAGTGAAAGGTAATGACAACAAACTGGATCCTTTCTAATACAAATGGAATTACATATGTATCGTGCGGTATATAGAGTATTTGAAAGGATCTAACTCCTAGGATTCGAATATTAATATTTTTAATAGGGGATATTGAGTCCACTTTGTTCTTGCGCCTAGTTATTTAAAATATTTTGGAATCAAACAATTACACAGGTTTAGAAAAAGAAAAGAGTCTGCATATTGAATCAAACCTCTATATCCCGAAATTATTCGACGCGCTTAATGCGAATCTGAGGTCAGTTAGCCCCCATCACGCCAGGTTTGCGGTTATTTGAAGGTCAAGTAGGCAACAATTTATTGAATAAACCTGAACGCCATTAAGCTCATCCGCGGTGCATTTTCCTGGAGGATTGGAGAACTAATAAAAGCCTGTTTGTTGAGGGTAGGAATGGCCGGGCTATATCTGCGTCCATGCCTTTTAAAAGGGATTCCTTCATTTGATGTGTATTCTTTTCAACCACTGCTGAAGGAGTATATAAAAAGTTAGGCATCAGGCATACACTCAAGCCGTCGTTTCTCGTATGCGACCACCTCAAACCTGGTGCCTTCCGACCCCTTTCCCCCCACTTCACTTTTAGTAGTTTCCTAACTAGTTAATTCTGTCACTAGCGCTTACTAGTCACGAAATGCAAATATGCCTGATCCATACAAGTTTCCTCAGCGGAGCAATTAAATATACAAATCATTAGACATACTATACACACATATTTAATTTCATACACGTTATAATATTCCTATATGGTATCTATGCAAATTTAATCACACAAATTAAATGTTATGCTTGTGTATGCCCAATGCTTAGGGATTACAAATTGGCACAGAATTTGTTAGTTTAACTATCATGCATTTTCATGTTTATCGCAGATAGGTATTTTCAGCTGCACGTCCAAATTCATTCACATAAATGTATTTTTACATTAGTAAGGGTCGTAAACAATTTTTTTAACTTCCGCATAGCGGCACCAAAATCATGTTTTCTTTATAACTTTTTTGATTTATGATCCTTTTTAAAAAAAGCTACATTCTCTGGCATCTTTTGTACCATGGAAGGGGAACATTTTTTGGACGAACCTAAAACACCATTAAAATTATTAGTAGGTTAGGTGGTTGCACCGTGTGTCAGGGGCTCACTTGGACAATTAGGATATTGTTCTTTGTGTTTCTACATTCTGAACGGCACCCAATATTTAATCGGTAAAACGGATCGAGCAGATTATGTAAATATGAATTCGGAATTTGGCATTTGAAAGTACTTGAACCTTAGCCTCGCAAAGGCTGGGCACCTAAGAAGGTAGTGTTCAGGTGATTTCATCTCGTCATTTTCCAGGCAACTGCGACATACGGGATCCCGTAGTTTATTTTATCAGTACGTCTGAATCATTTTTTTTTTAATATGATGAGAGTATATGCATACATTTCTATGTATGTACAAAAGTGTAGGCATAAAAAAAAATCGTAAAGAACAAACGATTTAAAGGTAAAAATTTCTATGACGATAAATTCTTCTCAAAGTAAGCTTTCAAACTAGGAGTCGTTGTTACAATTGTTTTTTTTTTTTCAAATAAACCGAGCCGGCCTTATGTGCATAAACACTACTTATGAACATGCATGCATGTATAATATTAAGTACCCTTCACTTTGCTGCAAATTGGTCCATGCTTCCCAATAATTTATTTGATTGTGTTTGTGAACGGAAATCCAATTTCGACTACAAACTTTTAAATTCCTGCTATGCTTTGTAATTACCCCAAGTGAAACAGCATAGATCTGTTGCTAGGAATTAAATAAACGAAAGCAATGCAGGTATTAAATAGCAAAAGCAATTGCAATCAAAGAATGTCAATTTAAAATAAAATAAAACAAAGACAAAAAGTTTATTTCAAGGAAATTTAATTCATAAATTGATATGCACAATTTCCTTGAAATAATCCAATTGATTACAATGTATTAAATGTCTGCATAAATCCATTCAAAATGGCAAATTATTCAATCATATTAAAATGAAATGAATGTGATTGGCTTTGAATTTTATTGAATTGGAATGATAGCTGGGCTGATATTCTATTGGGCCGAAGTTAAAATATCCACACGATGTGAAAACAACTTGAGTAGTACAGTAAAAATGGTATATGTAAAAAGCTTAGAAAAGGCGCCATATTAATAAAAAATTAGTGATACATTTTTTTTTCTCTTTTCGACGGTGGATTGTCCTTATCGCAATTCTAGAAAATAAAGCAGAAACGACCCGACTAGAGTTACGCATAGTGATTAGAAGACACTTTAGATTCTCAGTATGCACAGTTTTCCTTTTGTTTGTTCAATATTTATTAATTTTTTATAATGTAGCATATTCTACGTACAAATCCGATTTTAAAATTTTATTAGAAATTTAAAAACATGTCAACCAAACTGTGTGCCATCCTAATGGCCTGCAGTTAAAAATATTTTAAGAAAAATTTCGGCATAATAAAGTGACCTTTCAAGTGGCTACAAAATGCCTTTTTTTTTGTGGACAGTGTCATACATTTTCTACCATCCAAAGTATGTATACTCGATAAAATTTTTTTATGGAAGAAAATGCTCAGCACCGTCAACAATAAAAAAAATTCAAAAATCAACGGTATTTTTTAGCCACTTGAAAGTTTCACTTTACTCGACTAAAATTTAATGGGCTACAAAACTGCATACCCTGCATATTTCGAAAAATATTAGCTTATGCGCTGCAGGTCATTAGGATATCACACCCCTTTGTTGAGATGTTTTTTAAGTTTTTATAAAATTTGATACTGAGATTTACATTTTTATAAAATATAAATGAATATTAAACAAGCGAAGGTAAAATTGTAATATAGAGGACCAATAAGGTCTGCTAATCTAATGACTGGGAGTGTACAAAACTCGAAACTCTGAATTTTCGGCACATGAAATTAAACTTCTGCTGTACTCTGTTCGGATTGAAATTAGAATCAACTCATGCAGAGGTCTACAATGCATCGAAGATAAACGAAAAGTAAATGTAATAAGTGGGTGCTAGTTATTTTCATTTATTTTGTAGGAAATTGTATTTATGAGATACATACATATGTATGTAAATAAAGCGATTAATGTATTTTTAATTGCTTGTGGTCATAAATGTTTGATCTAATATCTAACATTATACATATGTATAGCATTTTCAATTGCTGGCAATCAAAATAAAACTCAAATAAATTTGCATTTCCCATCGCTTTGCTGATCGGCGGCTTACAAGATTTCCGCAAAGAGTATAGCTTCCGGAACCAGCAAAGGGGATTTTTCGTTTTCTCAAAGTCGTTCGAAATCAAAATCTGTCTAAGCTAGGGTCTCCCCGCAGGTCACAGAAAAATTGTTAAGCATTTGTTTGTTTGCTGCCAGAGTATTTTCAGTCAGTATTCTTCAGATTTGCGGAGATAGATCTGCAGTATCTTCGTTTGAGTTGAGCTATATATCTGCCTCCTCCTCCTCCACCGTTTTGTTAGGTCTGACTCAATTTTATTTAATTTTGCAAACAAAAATCAAAATTTGTTAAAAAAAATCAAATTGAAAGATTTTAAATTTTGATGACAGCTTGCCAAACTTTCTTAAATTTTTACAAAATTTTAAGTTCGTACTTACATGATTTTTGTTAGATAGTGCGCAATGCTTTCATAAAAAAGATAAAAAAAACACTAAGTAAACGAAAGAAAAAAGCCTAAACTTTTCAAAATGTTGCGTCCCTATTTATATGCTCGAAACTGTACATATGATCTTATTTTAGTTATAAGAACAGATAAAGCATTTCATATATCAAACTCTACCTAGTGTTAAATGCTATCTCTATGACAAATACGAAAACAAAAATGTAAGAATAACCTAATTTTTTTTCAAATAAAACGGGCACAATTTGATGTAGAAGTTTTGGCTAGCCAGAATGAAAATTCCAACTTAATATTTTGACTCCAACTGGATACGTTTTATGACTTCATAACCATCACCCTATACAAATGTATGCACAGTGTGGCTTTGTAAACATTTGATTATAACCTGCAATTCGCATGACACACACACACACACACACACACACACACGCTTTTACATCCGCAATGTCAGATGGACACACTTTGCCGCTTAAGTGAGTCCTTTTTCGTGTAGCATCAGCAGTAGTTAAATCACTACGCTTCATTGACCGCCACCAGTTACGCCCAAAAAAGTTCAGACATTCATATACATATGTATACAGTGTTCAAAATAATTATTCGTATAGTGATTTATTTTACAATTTTCGCAATGTTTTATGATAATTTTTTTTTGTTACTTCTTTCACGAAAATGTAGTTCACATTTTAATAAAAACCATATTAATTAAAATTTCATACTTACCTTTTACTTAAAAGGGTTCGAAAAATTTTAAGAATTTTATTCAGAATGTTTAGAAAAAAAAATTTTTCTCAAGGGTTTCGGGTTAGAAGAAAATGCGCGACACCCTCGACAAAAAAATTATGCCAATTAACTAAAATATAATAGGCTACGAAATTGCATACCCAAAATTTTTCTAAGAATCGGAATTGAAAATTTCTTCATATTTTTTGCGTTTTTCCGAGCTTTGTATGAAATTAAAAATTTATTCTTGTGGTTTTTGCCGGTGAATAAATTATATTTTTAACCGACTTCCAAAAAAGGAGGAGGTTATCAGTTCGTCGGATTTTTTTTTTTATTTTTTTTTTATGTATGTTACCGCATAACTTTGCACCACGTCAACCGATTTCAATAATTCTTTTTTTGCAACGGAAAGGTAATGTCTCAGAGGTGGTCCCATTCTAATTTGGTTTAGATCCGATCATTGGATCAAGAAATATATAGATATATATATATTTTTTTAAGTCGGTTTTTTTTTGCTAAAAATTACTTGTTATATGCATATCTTTGACTTTGACTGTATGTACATACATATATAGCTACACAAACAGCAGCTTCAAAGCGCTCAGTTGAGTGAGCGTTTGCCATCGTAACTCTGTTGTCACAGGAATCGCTACTCCGCCCGCCGAGCTTCTAGAAATCGACTTTATACGTTCGTTAGTTCTGGGCATTGCTTACCCGTGCATACATATACATACATAGCTGTTATTGCAGTGACTTTGTCTTCTTCAACATTGTGTCCTATATGCATGGGTGTGTGGGTGTGCCGAGGGTCCTGAATGTTTCTGGAGTGAGCTACTTTCGCTGTTCCTTGTTTCTGACAACATTCGCCTTTTATTCGTATGCCACGCGCGTTCACGTTCTGGTTTCTTCTATTTATACGCTCATAAACCTACACATGTACATATGTGTGTACACTAGGGTGGTCAGATGCCGCTATGGACTCAAGAATTTGTTGTTTTTATTTAATGCCCAAAATCGATACTACTACAGTCGAGGATATCACAAATAAATTTTGGTTCCGATTGGAGTCGGTTAAGTCGTCTTCATAAGGTAATCTGAACTTTGAGCCTTTAGCGACACGCCTTAGCCGACTTAAATCGGGACCAAAATTTATATATGATATCTACGACTACGGTAGTATCGATTTTAGGTATCATATGAAAAAAAATCATATTAATTTTTTGAGTCTCCATAGAGAAATCTGAACCAAAATTTGTATGCGATTTCCTCGACTATAGTAGCATCACCCTAAGGTTGAGGCTTTGGAAATCTGATGTAAAATTTATATCCAACATTCAAGGACCACCCTAATGTACATACATGTGTATTTGCTTAACTGTGTGTATTGTTATAATTTGTTCAATCTTACTCCTTTCAGCTCAGCTTTGTGGCACTTACTTTTCTATTTTCTATTTATCCCCTTGTGTGACACTTCTTCTTTGGCAAATAATATTGCTACTGCCACCGCCATTGTCTCTTCTGCTCTCCCCAACGTCGAAAAGCATTATTCTTTCATTTGTTATCCCTTTGTTTTGTCTCCAACGTTGCCCAGAGCTGCTCTCTGACTCTCGATATCCGTTCGTTTAGTGCTTTGTTGATTTGCCGCAGGACATCGCTGCATGACGAGCAGCGAATGAATGACCGCTGTGGCCGTCGTTGGTGGTCAGTGGCCCAAAGCTGTCGCTGTCGCTGTTACTGTTGCTGTTGCTGCTCCTTGTTAATTGGTTTTTTGATTGGCAATTTTCAAAACTAACAACAACAAACAGGCGTTCAAATGCTTGTACGCACACACTCATTTGTATACATATGCATTGGTATGTTATAGCATTTATTTTTATAGCCAGAAAGCAAAAATAAAATAGCACCGCGCTTCCAGCTGGCCGCCGATCACTGGCTTGCCTGGCTGACGACCGTCGTTGACCGGAATCAATGCGTTGCGTTTACGCTTGAATTGTGCCATGACATTGCCGACCACCACGCACACGCACAAGCACAAGCACACGCACACACACACCCCGTTCAAATACTCTCTGACCCTTACACCTTTCCTAGGGGGCGTGTCGGTATGTGCGTTACATGGCTTAATAGGCTAATGCTATGATGCGGAGTGAACTAGCTACTAGCTGTGATGTTTATTTGCGTTTTCATGCCCCGTCGCTTATATACACACACATATACATATATGTATATGTATATGTGCTCGCTTTTGTTAGTTTAGCAAATAGTTAAATAACATTTTGGGACTATGAAAATGCCTAATGGACGTTGGTTTAATTGTGTGGATTATGGCTGACTTGTTGGGTGACAATTAAAATGAAAAAGGAAAAACACAAAACAACATCCATTCTGCGTCGATGAGCACATGAAGAGCATAAATTGCAGCAATTTAATTGTAAACACTCGAGTACTGAGTAAAAAGTCGTACAAGTAAGTGCTTGTAAAAGTTTATAGAAATTGTATTATTTAGATATGTATCTAGCTAGCTATCTACGTACGTACGTGCCAGGTCCTATGGCTTAATGTACAAAAATATTGTCTGGTTAGTTTCAGGCAAATCTACTTCTCCAATTTGAGGTTGAAAATTGCTTTTACTTATGATTTATTTAATACCCATAAATGTATGTTCGCATTCAGCGCATGGCCCTATGCTTGAAGCCTAGTTCATCGCCACATGCAAATGATTTACAGCCTTGTCCTTTTAGAGGACTATTTGAAGTTCGGCGGCGGAGGTGGACAAAAATAAGTTAAGCTACACATCTAAATGGAAAAGCAGGGTTCTTCAGTATATAACGCAGTACCTAAACTGGAGGTAGCGCCTTTTCTTTTAGTTCAAATAGGTTCCTTAAGCCAAGAGTTGACCGCGTGCGCTGTGTTTTGGTCGTACTTGAACAATAATGGACACCGACAAGGGTTTCGTATGTCTTTTTTCTTACTAAGAAAACAACTCGCAATGTTATTCTATTTACTTCGTATGGAAGTAGGGAAAGTATCAGTCAGAAAGGGTTATATTTATTTAGTAGGTTCATAAAAACTGAATCCGCCCTGACGCGGCCGACCGGCCGGCCACTTATAAACTAAACAGTGGAATTATGCGGAATTATATAACTTTGCTATTAATTTTAATATATTTTTAATTTTGTACATTTTTTAAGTTTAAACAATTAACTATAGAAATTGTAATTATTTTTTAAGTAATTTTATATAAATTTTAGGCTATCGTATATGCCTTCAAAAGAAGATTCCATTTTACAGAAATCAAATTGTTAATTTTCTCCAAAAATGGCGCCACTTCAAATAACACGTGTCGTTTGTTTCAGAGTGCCCTTGGCAAGAAACTACCCTTTTGCCCTTTGTCTTCAAGGCTGACAACATACGAATCATGTTTCCATATTCCTCAAGCCAAGGCGAATTTATATAAGGTGGTGTTACTAGCTCAGCTGATTTTGTGTATGTGTTTCGCCGCACGGCTTCTGATATCAAATTGAAAAATTTTGTTTGAATTTCTACACACACTCTTACAGATTTTGACAGTTTATGCCGCCAAAGCAAAAACAAAATACATGTAAATTTTTGTTTTTGTACCCCTGCTATCACCTTATATTAATTCGCCTTGCCTCAAGCAAATTTAGGCATTTATTAGAGATTTTCCCACACTATGTGCCATCTGCAGTTCTCAAGAAAAATCACAAGATATATCTTTCATTAGTTCTTTTGCTTGAAAAAGTACTTTGCTGTTGCTGTAAATTTTCTTGAAGAAATAANTTTTGATTAGTTCTTTGCTGTTGCTGTAAATTTTCTTGAAGAAATAAATATACGAGCATTTTNAGATTTTCCCACACTATGTGCCATCTGCAGTTCTCAAGAAAAATCACAAGATATATCTTTCATTAGTTCTTTTGCTTGAAAAAGTACTTTGCTGTTGCTGTAAATTTTCTTGAAGAAATAAATATACGAGCATTTTTTTCTTGAGAGCTGCTACAGATTTAATAAATTTTGATAGAAGAAAATTTCTTTTCTATTTCTTATGTGTAATTTTATGTGAGCCTTTCGTTCTTCGTGAGAACTGCAAACAGCGCTTTAACAGGGGAAAAAATTAAAATATAATATAATTTTTTTTTTGTTTAAATTTTTCTCCTGTGTTCTTTTACAAAAAAAAAAAAAAAAAAGCTACTGACGAAGAAATCGACGGTTAAATGTAAATGTGCAATGATTTTTTTTCTCTCTCTCTAAAAGCACTCAAAATAGTGCTAGTAAAACTACTACTGAAAAGCGTTTATTTTTCAACCAGAATCTTTTTAAATAAACGTCCAAGATGTTCAAGATTTGATTTTGAACATGAGATGTTTAAAAAATACACATACATATGTAAATCTACACACAAAATATTTAAAATTGCAAAAATTTTGAAAGTAAAAATATGTTTTTTACTAATAATAAACACTAACTGCTCATATTTACTCCAATCTCCAATTCGAAAGCAGCGAGCAATTCTTTACTGGAAACGTAATAGTGGTGCCAGAAAAAAAATAAAAATAAATATCCAAATCANTGATTTTTTTTCTCTCTCTCTAAAAGCACTCAAAATAGTGCTAGTAAAACTACTACTGAAAANGATTTTTTTTCTCTCTCTAAAAGCACTCAAAATAGTGCTAGTAAAACTACTACTGAAAAGCGTTTATTTTTCAACCAGAATCTTTTTAAATAAACGTCCAAGATGTTCAAGATTTGATTTTGAACATGAGATGTTTAAAAAATACACATACATATGTAAATCTACACACAAAATATTTAAAATCGCAAAAATTTTTAAAGCAAAAATATGTTTTTTACTAATAATAAACACTAACTGCTCATATTTACTCCAATCTCCAATTCGAAAGCAGCGAGCAATTCTTTACTGGAAACGTAATAGTGGTGCCAGAAAAAAAATAAAAATAAATATCCAAATCACCCATAGAGTAATTCTAGAAATAGTCGCGATTAATTTTAAACTTCGAAACTCTGTAAATAAATAAACCGAAAAATAAATCGAAAACTTTAACAATCTTGGTACTCTCTCTCTCTCTCTCTCTCTCTCTCTCTCNCCGAAAACTTTAACAATCTTGGTACTCTCTCTCTCTCTCTCTCTCTCTCTTTTAACCTCCGCAAACCTTTTTGAATTCATTATCTAACCCTTAAGGGCGTAGTTAACAGCAAATATAGATCATTTTGAATAAACTTTTGCTATTATGCAAGGGTGCTGAAAAATCGCATTTCATTTTAGGTAGCAATACAACTATTAACAGCAAGAATTAAAAATTGTTCGAATAGGAAAAACGAAGTTTTTAATAATATCTTTACTTTTTTTTATTTGCAGGGACTTGAACGCATTGTGGTTATCAGCAACGTCAGTCACTCCTCTGGCGGTCCCGCCGTGAACACTGCAACTGGTATATCGGGCATTGTAACGCCAGTGCTGCGCAATAAAATTGAAAAGTTAGCATTGGAATTGGTTAAATTGGAAAATGAAAGATTTTCAATACCGGCGCTGCAGCTGCTACTTTCCTGCATGTATGTGGGTAAGTAAAATTCGAATCACTAAATATAGAATTTGTAGAAATTCATACAGAGAATTTACTTCAAGTAGTTTGAATAATCACGTTCGAAATTTGGTAGGTCTAAATCATAAAATACTTAAAACTATGGAACAATTCCTAGGCCTAAACCACCAGGTTGGAAAAAACAATAAACTTGCCAACAGGGCTGCCACATATCCTTATCTATGAAGTGCCATATTGAAGAAAAAAAGTGCCAAAATGTGCCAAATACAAAAATAAAAGTGCCAAGAAGGTGCCATTTTTTAAATTCATTACTATTCATTACTAGAGTCGAATGCCGAAATAATAAGATAAACCAGTTGTATACGCAATCGAAATTATAAAATTTTAGTTGTGAAAAAGAAGCACAAGCAAAATATTTCACAAAAATGTATTGAAATATTACTATTTTTCAAAAGTGCCATTTTGGCACTTTGTGCCAAATTGAAAAATTAAGTGCCATTTGAAGTAAAATAGAGCCAAAAATTAAACGGTTTGAGCCAAGTTGGCAGCCCTGCTTGCCAACTTGCGAAAACTGAAAATCCTTTCAAAAAGACGGAAGCNCAAAAATTAAACGGTTTGAGCCAAGTTGGCAGTCCTGCTTGCCAACTTGCGAAAACTGAAAATCCTTTCAAAAAGACGGAAGCNCATATGTAAATCTACACACAAAATATTTAAAATCGCAAAAATTTTTAAAGCAAAAATATGTTTTTTACTAATAATAAACACTAACTGCTCATATTTACTCCAATCTCCAATTCGAAAGCAGCGAGCAATTCTTTACTGGAAACGTAATAGTGGTGCCAGAAAAAAAATAAAAATAAATATCCAAATCACCCATAGAGTAATTCTAGAAATAGTCGCGATTAATTTTAAACTTCGAAACTCTGTAAATAAATAAACCGAAAAATAAATCGAAAACTTTAACAATCTTGGTACTCTCTCTCTCTCTCTCTCTCTCTCTCTCTCTTTTAACCTCCGCAAACCTTTTTGAATTCATTATCTAACCCTTAAGGGCGTAGTTAACAGCAAATATAGATCATTTTGAATAAACTTTTGCTATTATGCAAGGGTGCTGAAAAATCGCATTTCATTTTAGGTAGCAATACAACTATTAACAGCAAGAATTAAAAATTGTTCGAATAGGAAAAACGAAGTTTTTAATAATATCTTTACTTTTTTTTATTTGCAGGGACTTGAACGCATTGTGGTTATCAGCAACGTCAGTCACTCCTCTGGCGGTCCCGCCGTGAACACTGCAACTGGTATATCGGGCATTGTAACGCCAGTGCTGCGCAATAAAATTGAAAAGTTAGCATTGGAATTGGTTAAATTGGAAAATGAAAGATTTTCAATACCGGCGCTGCAGCTGCTACTTTCCTGCATGTATGTGGGTAAGTAAAATTCGAATCACTAAATATAGAATTTGTAGAAATTCATACAGAGAATTTACTTCAAGTAGTTTGAATAATCACGTTCGAAATTTGGTAGGTCTAAATCATAAAATACTTAAAACTATGGAACAATTCCTAGGCCTAAACCACCAGGTTGGAAAAAACAATAAACTTGCCAACAGGGCTGCCACATATCCTTATCTATGAAGTGCCATATTGAAGAAAAAAAGTGCCAAAATGTGCCAAATACAAAAATAAAAGTGCCAAGAAGGTGCCATTTTTTAAATTCATTACTATTCATTACTAGAGTCGAATGCCGAAATAATAAGATAAACCAGTTGTATACGCAATCGAAATTATAAAATTTTAGTTGTGAAAAAGAAGCACAAGCAAAATATTTCACAAAAATGTATTGAAATATTACTATTTTTCAAAAGTGCCATTTTGGCACTTTGTGCCAAATTGAAAAATTAAGTGCCATTTGAAGTAAAATAGAGCCAAAAATTAAACGGTTTGAGCCAAGTTGGCAGCCCTGCTTGCCAACTTGCGAAAACTGAAAATCCTTTCAAAAAGACGGAAGCAGTTGTAAACAAGTAAGAACCAAGACTACTTCTTGAAAAATATTATAATTAAGTCACAGCAAAGAAAACCCTTGGATAAATAACTGGCATACCTAAACAAAAACGTCAGCGTTGTCTGAAATAACGCGAGTTCAACGCTTAGCGGTTAGAAAATCCGATTTTGACAGGACGTTAGGAAGTGAAGTTGGCTGCAGAAAACGGCGAAACTGTCATTTTCGTAGTTAACACAAACAAATCTATGCTTANTGGCTGCCACATATCCTTATCTATGAAGTGCCATATTGAAGAAAAAAAGTGCCAAAATGTGCCAAATACAAAAATAAAAGTGCCAAGAAAATGCCATTTTTTAAATTCATTACTATTCATTACTAGAGTCGAATGCTGAAATAATAAGATAAACCAGTTGTATACGCAATCGAAATTATAAAATTTTAGTTGTGAAAAAGAAGCACAAGCAAAATATTTCACAAAAATGTATTGAAATATTACTATTTTTCAAAAGTGCCATTTTGGCACTTTGTGCCAAATTGAAAAATTAAGTGCCATTTGAAGTAAAATAGAGCCAAAAATTAAACGGTTTGAGCCAAGTTGGCAGCCCTGCTTGCCAACTTGCGAAAACTGAAAATCCTTTCAAAAAGACGGAAGCAGTTGTAAACAAGTAAGAACCAAGACTACTTCTTGAAAAATATTATAATTAAGTCACAGCAATGAAAACCCTTGGATAAATAACTGGCATACCTAAACAAAAACGTCAGCGTTGTCTGAAATAACGCGAGTTCAACGCTTAGCGGTTAGAAAATCCGATTTTGACAGGACGTTAGGAAGTGAAGTTGGCTGCAGAAAACGGCGAAACTGTCATTTTCGTAGTTAACACAAACAAATCTATGCTTATTGTTGGTGTTACATATTTCTCCTTAACGCAAGGTGTCAGAAAATGCTCAGTCCAACGCTTTTGTTTAGGTACGGCAGTATGAAAGGAATGAGTGGTCAAATGAAAATGCCCACGGATTGTTTGTACGAAAAATGAGCAGAAGAGGGTGTTTTTCAGCTGTACATGGCGTATGAGTAACATTATTTCTTGCTCATTATCCATACAAAAAAATCTTTCCGCATTTTTATTTGACCACACATTCCTTTCTTATTTGTACATCGATTTTCTTCATTTATGGAGAATTTCGTTAGCTCTCAGTCCAATTGGTTCGCGAGATATATAAAAAAAAAAAAACTTATCCATACAAATAAAAAAAAACCTAACACGATTTTCGGAGTCGCCCAGCAATTCTACATCGCACTTGGAAAGTGGCTTCCATAAAATATTCAGTGATATCAACAAAAATTTCCCATAGAATAGACTTATGCAATTTTGATTAAAAATATACTAATACACAGTGCATGCAATAAAGTGTGCAAGTGTGGGATGTGACCTTTGCCTCATATTTACTAATAGTTGTAAAAAAACAAACGTATAAAAATTTTTTTGATAGGATTTAACACTGATTGCATCGCTTGATTACAACAAATTCCAAACTCGTTTACTACCAAACGCTACGCTCCACTGGCCTTTAGTTGGTTAATGACTGTTGCATCACTGCTTTACGCTTTACTACAGCTACGACATACGAGAGCCATAAACGAGATGCCAATTATCATTATAATTTTAGCAAATGTTATTCTATTAGCGCACTGATGGTCACAGCAGCAGATGCGACGGCAACAGCAGCAGAACAACGACCACTACACATAGCTATAACATCAACATATGTTTGAATTGCACTTTTTTTTGCGACGCCCGCCCACCCACACCTCATGTCGGCGCCAACTTTTGCACTATAAGCTGAGCAGCGGCGCCGTCGTCGAACAAATGCAATTAGGCGCTTACATTTGCTGTTGTTAATATTACGTGTTGTTGTGTTTTAATGCACTTTTTTTGTAAACAAATATTGTATGTGCAGAGAGTAGTATTAGCTGTTTGTTGTTGGGTGCGCATTGTTTTTTATTTGTTTTGCTCTTGTTTGTATGGTTTTCCCCCAAACGCTTGTTTTGTTATGTTTAACTTTTATTCATTTTGGCGCCAGTCAACAAAAATTTCGATTGGCTAAGTGGATTTTAGCCATAATATGACCAGTCAGCCAGCCAACCAGCCAGACAGTCAACTGGTTTGTACAAACAGCATAACAATACATACATACATACATATTTATGTACAACAAATAAAAGCGTCAAGTGGATTTTGGAAATTTTGGGTCATTTGCTGCCGCTCAGATCATCCGCTTGAATTCGTTTTATGCACATAGAGTAAGTATATTAAAGTGGTCGCGTGTTTTGCATGCACATGCACTTGGCGGAGAATGCGATTATGGCAAATGCAGGGTGGCGGTGCCTTTGGTTTGTAAAAATGCCATAATAATGCTAACAACAAACAGACAACCAGCAGTAATAGAGGCTCACCAACAACCGACAACTCTACTGGCTATAATAATAACGGCACACAGTGGGAGGAAGCATGAGAAAGCTGTCTCTAAAATTGTGCTTCGGAAATTTGATTTTAAAATAAAAAGTGTGTGCGATATAGTGAGCGTTTCTGACTGTATCTTAAATAGTCTAATTCATAAAATTTAAATTTATGTCTAAAAAAAAGTTTTCTTTTGATTGTTGAAAAAGTTGTCATCGCGGGAGATCTTGCTATTCTGCGCATTGAAGATAATAGCAAAAGCAACGTACTTCAAGAATTCGAAAATAAAGTAACCAGATTCGTCCAAGTTCTGTTGTAATTCACGATACAATAGCGCTATAAAATAATAACTGTGCTCATTGTATTGTAAGGAAAGCTTACACAGGGCAACACTAATTTTGGTGCGGCAAATATTTATTAAAGCTTTGATAGAGCTTTTTGTGCTGATTGCGAATCTGTAAGTATGTATAAATTTTCCACCAGGTCAAGATTTTGAGAAAAAGGAGGTCGAAGTGTAAAAAAATCGAGTTTTTGCAATATTTGAGAAGCTCTAAC